CTATTCATCAAAATAGACTAAAAATCAAAGGAGTTAAGAATCAAAGCTAACTACAGGTCCTTTTACACGGACTGAAGGTTGGACCGATCACATCCAAAGTTTTCCAGCCTCCTCTATAAAAGAATGATGATGAAACACTTTGGAAGGGGTATCTGTAGGCGTCTAAAATTACCTACGGGCCCTCACACGCAGCTCGAAGCACAGAGAAGATGATGAACGTCACTATCCAAGTCATAGAAGCTTAATCGACGTTGACAAGCGCATGAAGTGAGTCGACGAAATATGTGAAGCAACGAAACTGCAAAACAACGAAGAAATGAACTGATCGGGAGCCATGCTTCGCTTACGAAAGATGAAGCACCCATCGTGTCCCATCTACTCCATATATGATTCAATCATGAAAGCTCGTAGATCTCCTCGTCTGCTTTCCAACGTACTTTGAATCACGTAATTCCGAGTTCGGACGACGAAAATACGACGGAAACGGACAGAACACGAGAAACTATGCTCCGGGCCTCGCCGAGACACCACTTGGTGTCTCGGCTTGGCCGAGACACCCACGAGTGTCTCGGCCACGCAGAGACACCCACAGATGTCCGCAACCTAAAATTGTAGATTTGACAGTTTTAAGATATTTTTTGACCGTTAACCACTCGGATTTGTTTCAACTGATCTGATATCATCCGAGAACACGATAAAGTGGTTATGATTAAGGATAAGATCGAATTGGTCGTTCTTATCCAAAAACGGAGGTCCCAAAGCCTATAACTACAGCCCCAGGGCCTTCATTTTTCCAGAGCTGGAATTCTCAAGCGTTGGCGAAGTCCTGTTGAACTGAATACTGAAGGAGCATGAATTTCAGAAGGGAGGAGGAGATCGGATCGAGTTCATCGGCATAAAGAAGAGGAGCTCGTCAGATCTACACTTCTCCGTCCTTTGCCTTAAGATTGCCCCGTTGCGGTAATCTTAAGAAGAGTGATTATCTCGCTATTGCCGAGATAATTGCTTCGGTTTCTTGATTCCTTCGCGAATCAACGAAGCTCCGGATCTGATCTGATCGTTTGGTGGTCCACGGACATCAACGTCCCCGTCACAGGCTAAGATCCCACACAAGTAGTGGGCAATAAACACCCGTTACGTTGTTTGACGAGAGTTGTACTTTTTTTGTTTTCATTATGTAAGGGTCTTATAAAAAACTAACTTTTGTTTTCTTTGTAACGTTTGAAGTTGTAATGAACACAGCAATGAATACATTAACTTTCTCCCCAAACAAAGCATGCCTAGAATAATCATTTATGAACGAGACAAAATATCTAGAACCACCCTTGGAAGTTGTCTGAGTCGGACCCCACACATCTGTGTACACATAATCTAATATACCTCTGCTCTTATGCTTGCTTCTCAAAAACTGGACCATGTGCGTCTTTCCGTACACACAATCCTCACAAAAATCCACGCAAGGTTTCTTCAGATTCTTCAGCAAACCCTCTTTACCAAGCAGATCTAGACCCTTCTCTGATATGTGCCCAAGCCGTCTATGCCATAACCGTGTGTGCTCACATGGGTCTCCACCACTTCCATCAGTTCCAACTGATGCATTCCCTATCACTGTCGTACCCGAGAGAGTATATAGATTACCGTGACAAACACCTTTCATCACTACTAGGGAACCTCGAATAACCTTCTTCACTCTGTTCTCTATAACAATTTTGTAACCACCGGAGTCCAAAACACCAACTGAGATAAGATTCTTCCTCAAGTCGGGAACGTGCCTTACATCCGTCAGGGTTCTGACCACTCCATCATGCATCTTGATTTTGATATCACCTAGCCCCATCGTTTTACAAGCATGGTTGATCCCCATCAGTACGATTCCACCGTCAATGCTTCTGTAGGTAGTAAATAACTTCCTATTTGGACACACATGGTAAGAGCAACCCGAATCAAGAATCCACTTCCCGAAGATATCCTTACCTCCCGTGATGACATAGCATTTCTTCTCGCTCCCTTCCTCTGAAACATAGCTCGCCTCTTCCTTGCCTTCTCTCCTCCCAGTCTTATTGTTGTTCTTCTTCTCACCTACTCTCTTGTTAGGACAGTCAACTTTGAAATACCCTAGCTCACCGCATTTGAAACACGTCCTTCCCGCAAGAGGTCTCGATTTCGATCTAGACTTTCCTCCCTTACCTTTTCCTCGCTCATTGCCTCTTCCTCTAGCAAATAGTCTCTGAGCTTGCTCCTTGTTACCACTTGTGGCCATATCACTAGTTGTAATTTTTCGAAGATCATCCGTCAGAAGCGTTGTTCTAGTCTCATCCATCGTCAAATTGTCTCCTACAAGCATCAATATTTGTACCAGGTTCTCATAAGACTTCAGTAAAGAAAGAAGTAACAGAAGTGATTGATCCTCATCTTCTACTGTCACATCAATGTCCTTTAAATTCGATATGATCCTATCGAACTTGTTGATGTACTCCCGGATTGACGAGCCTTCCTCTATTTTGCAAGTATACAATTTGGATTTCAAGTATATCTGATTTGTTAGACTCTTCGTCATGAATGTACTCTCTAACTTTGACCACACGCCCGCAGCCGTTTCCTCTCCATCTACTAAGAAAGCAACATCCCTCTCAAGGCATATGATAATCGACGCTCGTGCTTCGAGATCTAACTCTTCCCAATCCTCATCGGACATTTCTTTGTGGTTCTTCTCTTTTCCTACCAAAATCTTGTGCAATTTCTGCAAAATCAGCGAATTTTCATTTGTATCATCCAATAGGAAAAATCATTCTTCCCATTGAATTTTTCAATCTCACACTTTCTAACTTTAACTGTTTTACTTGTAGACGTTATTTTTCGCTTGTATTAATAAAACCGCTTCTCTCAGAAATTTTAACAAATACATTGTGTTTACCACACAATAATCAAGCACCACATCAGATCAAAAATTTTACCACCTCCAATCTGGATAAATAGCTCTGATACCATTTATTGGACGCAGAGTCACGCCATCACGCCGCGAAAGCGATATCACCCGAGAGAGAGCCCTGGTTTTTGTTGTCACAAAAGCTCAAGTCAACATCTATATTCCTGTTTCACAAAGGAAACTAGAACAGAAAGTAAAATATCTCAACAAAGTGAGGTATACACTCTTCCTCTCATCAGTTCTAGGACTGACTTGTCGAGCTAACCTACAAGCAATAGCCAACTCTTGTTCTAGCTCAACATCTCATTAGTTCTAGGACTGACTTGTCGAGGGAACCTACAAGCAAAAACCAACTCACAGTTAAGACACGAGATTTACATGGTTCGGCAAACTTGCCTATGTCCACGGGAGGGGGTTTCACTATGAAGAGAATATCAAACTTGTACAACTCACAAGTTCTCTCTTTTCTTTTACTTCTCACTCACTCTCTTTTCCTCCACACTACTTTTTCTTTTCTTCCCCACACTTTCTCTCTTCCTCACCTCTCCTATTTATAGGCAAAGAAGAGGGGACAAGAGAGTATGGGTGAGCATGGGGGAGCATGGGGGCTCCACCATCTCTTGTCCCTCCCATCCCACATTCACAAATTTGATATAAGTATGTCATTATCAAAAATATTTGGATACATGCGAATTCATTTTACTTTTAACCTATAAGCAATTAGAAATGTAATAGTAAAAATTTATCTGTATAGTGTCATAGTTATCCATACTACAAAGGTAAATTGTAGCAAAGATTGCAACAACAAATGTTGCATGCAAGGTGTAACATTTGTACGAAATTAATTTAAAATCTACTATTTTCATATCTCTAATTTTATTTCAGGAAATGTATTTCTAATGCACATTTTAGTGTTCTTTTTGAAAAAAAAAACAACTTGTATAAAAGCTCCGCTATTTCATCATACAAGAAAACAATGGAGATGATTTTTCTATTAGAGCTGAAAAGATTTCTTGATGAGGTGAAATAATTTTTTTATTTTCAATTTCCTTTTTCGGGTATGCTCCCACCAAATTGGTTGCAACAGTTCCTATATCTTTTTCCATCGAACCGGAAGTTCTTGAGTAAAAGTGGTGGACAACTACCCCCACAATCCATTAAAAAGAGTTTAATGAAACGTAATTTGTAAATTCATCTACCTTCATTAACAAGTTCTTTGGCTGCTACTAATTGTGAGCTATTCTTTTACGAGCGCAATTTAGCTCGAGAGTGACTATGTACGCAGATTGTATTGGAAATAGACTCTGAGAAGTAGGGGTGCTAAACCGTATCCGTATCCGAGGAAATATCTATAACCGTATCTGTTAGGATACAGATATGGTTGCTCAAATCTATAACCGATATGATATGGTTACAGATATGGTTTTGTAGTGGAATATCCGTATCCGTATCCGAAATATCCGAATACATATTAGTCATACTCTTATGATAGTTTCGATTCTTAGATTATGGATTTGTGGTTAATTTTGATGATCAATATGTCTAATCTTAACTTTTCAGCTATAATGAAGATATTAACAAACTCTTTTGTATCACATGAACTATATTTTTCTCAATACTATCTACTTTTCTCATATCTATTTTGTATCCGTATGCATATCCGTTTATATATCCGCTTGTACATCCGTAACCGTATCCGATTTTAGCGGATATGGTTATAAATTTTCCTTACCGTGATATATCTGTATCCGTATCCGTATCCGAGATGGGTAAGCGGATATGGATATGGTAAGCATCATATCTGAGCCGTATCCGAACCGAATGCACCCCCTACTAAAAAGGCAATTGAAGTTTATTCAGATATTCACTATAATGCCACTACAAGTCCAATAGTGTTTGAAAAAAGTCATGACAAGCCCACGCGTGACGCATTTGCGGAAGCGAACCAAGAGGTAGACTTTCTTGCAAAGCTAGAAACCTCCTGGTATCTTGGCTGCACAGTTGTCTAGAAGGCACCCCGTGGAATTCGCAAGTTCAGCGATCAGAACGTGACGGGTAGTTTCCAAACCAAACAAGTCAAAAATCAATCTGATTATAATATTGAAATCTGCAATTCTCTTTCCACAAACAAACAAAAGTCGCGTCGCTCACAAGTCACAACAACAATGCTAACCCGATTAAAACAAAGATCAAAACAATTTGAAACCCTATAACAACAATTAATCAATTGGCCGCCAACTAAATAAAGAGGAATTAACCCCACATCATCATCGTAATAATAATACCCTCCCAAAAAAAAAACACCAGCTATCAATCATCACTCTTCAACCCGTTAAGCTCGGGTACACGCAAGAATTGTAACCTGCATCCACAAATAATTACGGAAAACTATTAGTAACGGAAGACAAAATCGTATAATAATGACACGTTTCATGCTCACAAAACACCAGAAGCACTTACTAGGATCTCTCTTGGTCTGCTCCGCCAGACCATCGAAGTAACAAGTACCCCCAGCCTTTCTAAACTGCTGCCAGTACGAATTAAACGCGTAATCCGCGTGGGACCTCAAATTGTTCGGCTGGTAGCACTCCCTCCCCTTCCGTATCGCATCACAGGTCCCGTTCCCCTGTCCGCAGGCATAACTTAACGCAATCCCGATCGCCGTCTCATTTTTCGCGTCGGCCCCCAGGACACACCATATTCTCCCCCTGTACGGCTCATTATTCGTCGGCAACGGTAACGGCGCGAACCCCGTTTGCTTCCCCGTTAAGTCCAGCTCATAAACCCTAGTTCCGTTTGGGTACAGCATCCCGAAGTGCCGTTCCGTTCCCGGCCCAGGCTTCTGGTTCTCGTTGTACAACGCGAATACGAAGACGGGCATGTACGAACCGGGTCGGAGCGGAGTCCCGGGCCGTGCCCGGAACCGCTTCGCTACGTTCCGATTGTAAGTGGCAGCGTTCGTAGATTGTTGGCACCGATCTGGTCAAGGTCGCAGCGTTGGGCCAGCCGGTCTCGCATGGCAAGAGGTTAACGGATCCGAACCCGACCCGTTTCATGGCGAAGATAACCGCATCCAGCATCTGATCGAGAAGGTTCGTGTAGGTCAATCTGGAGGCTGGGTCGAAGTAGTAGAGACTGGAGTTGGCTCGGAAGAGGGCGTAGTCGAGGTTTATTTGGGTCGGGTTCGAAGACCAAGGGAAGTACGGGTACGCATCGACGAAGTAGTAGGATCCGGTATCGTTTAGGAATTTCAACAGGGGTTTGATAACGGGTTCGGCGATGTCGGGTCTGAACTCGCCGGAGGACGGAGGGAAGGAGGCGCTGAGAGCGTCCATGGCGAGGCTGGTCCCCACTTTAATTTGGCGGATCTTGTGCTTTTTGAGGGATCTGTAGATGTGGGTAATGGCGGGAAGAGAATCAGGCCCAATGATGTTTGGATGGAGGAGTCGGAGAGGACCTCGTTGCCGACGAGGAGGAAGCGGACGCGGGTCTTGGGGGTAGAATGGGAGGAGGAAGTGGAGATCCACGCGTCGGCGCGCGGATTGGTTGGAGGCGAGGGAGGGATTCGTCGTTGGGGACCATGATGGAGACGGCGACGCGGGTGCCGAGAGGCGCGGAGATGGGCGGGTTTGCGTCGTAGATCTTGACGGCGGCGGCGCGGAGGTGGCGGATCGGGTGGACGGAGACGGCGGCGGAGGGAGGTCGTTGCCGAGCTGGCCGAAGTTGACGCCGAGGGAGTGGAAAGTTGCGGCGTTGGCCGAGGGAAAGAGAGAAGCTGAGGAGGAGGAGGAAGAGGAGAGGGGAGAGAGACATTTTTTATTTATTTAATCTTTCTTATGTTGTAGGAATAGAGGCAAAACTGCTTGAAGGAGGAGCTGAGGGGGTCATGAAGGGAGCTGGGAGGAGTGAAGAAGAAGAAGAATTAAGGACAGAAAGTTGTGGTCGATGACTTGTGGGCCCACTTTTTGTCGCTATCGCGCTGTCAGCGTCGCTTTTAACGAGGGTGAAGATGAAATCTTGAATGTTTTTTGTACGGGAAAGTTGCACCAGGCCTTGGAAACGGTAGCTTCCCTTCTCCCTCCCACGCCAAGGCCGACCCAGCATCAGAAAAAAAAAGGTAATAGGACCGTTGCGGGACAAATTTTAAAAAAGAAAATTCCCCGATGACCCAAAATACGGGACCAACAGGAGGGCAGGTGAGGTGTCCCCCTCCTATTACATAATGAGCTGATCATTATTAATTTTTTTTAAAAATCTACCATTTTAAATATTTATTTATAATTTTCGACTCAGCCCTAGCTTATTAGCAATTTCAATCTAGTTTCATAAAACTAGAGCGAAATTATTAATTAAGTTAGGAACAGGTCAAAAATTGTAAATAAATATCTTAAAATGTCTATTTTTAAAATTAGTCTGACCATTGTGTTTCCAGTTTCTAATTTTTTTCGAAAAAATCCAAAACGGAACTGTTATGGTGTTTACTCAACCAATATATGGTTATTTACAAAATGATACAATCATAGCCCTGACAAACAGGTCTTAACCCACTTAAGTGGTCCAAGCCTAACAGAGGCCTCGACCCCGCCGACTTATCAAGTCTGCATTCTTCCATGCCGACGTGAAAGGCGGGATTAGTCGACCTTATCGTCGAGGACGGCCCACCTAGAGCACTCGACCACTCACTTGGCAACTCACGAAGACGACTTGATGGACATTCCCTGCTGTCGGCTAAGTTGAGGACTCGACCCCTACCTCAAGCCTCTTCCCCAGAGCATGTGTCAGCATTTCAGTCCACCTCGGACAAGCCTTATCCAGATTTTGGTCTGATGGTCTTCATGACTTGTCAGCTGTCCACGTGCCTTCTGTCACGCTCTCAATTACTTTCCGAAAAATACGGAGACACCCTCTCCCGTGTCGAAGTGACTTCCCCTCCAGTCGCCAGCCGACACCTGTAAAGCTATGGATGATTCAGCATGCCAGCGTGCCTTCTGCCACATTCTCAATCACTTCCCGAAAAATACGGAGACATCATATTCCGTGCCGAAGTGACTTCCCCTCCAGTCATCAGCTGACACCTGTAAAGCGAGGGATGACTCGGCTCTTACCCCGCACTTCATCACCGCCTCCCTATGTAGGGCTAGAGGTGACCTATTTATCTCTACGACGAAGATATATATAGGTATACTCCTAACCTCTAAAAAAGGGGAAGATCTAAGAAAAAAGCTCAAGCTAAGACTTCATCTCTCTTGCTCTCTCTCAAAAGAGAGAAAGAACCCATAGTTTTTCGTCTAGATAGAGGAGCTCACGTAGATCCTCTGGGCATGCACATTGCCTCCTCAAGAACCACCTTGGTTCCTGACATTCCCCTTCCCCGCTCGAGTTTCACTAACTTGACCGTCGGATGAACCACTGGGGAACCCGTCTCCGCCCTCTCACGGGTTCTTCTTGTTCATGCAGCTTGGACATTAAGCTCCCGTTCAAGCACCAAACATAAAGTCGAAGAAGGGAGCGGCCCTTCCATCACTCTCACCTACCCCGTCCCGACGAGGACCCAGAGGGACCGATCCAGTTCCGGATCAGAACCAATCCTAGCCCGGATCCGATTGACTGTTTGGTCATAGTCATCAACAGTTTAGCACCCACTGTGGTGCTACTCTTCTTTTTCGAAAAGACATGCCAAGTTCTGAACAAGGGTCTGATTCTACTCACCCTGAATAACAACATCGGAGTTGCATCATCCAAGCTAAATAAAGTCAGGAGTTGTATCATTCAAGCTAAGGAGGGTTAGCTTTGTCTAAGAGGATCCAACATAGGCGTAGTCCTCGAAGGCCTCATCGACTTACCTGGGGAGTGTTTGCCAAGCACACCATCTGCTAGATGGTAGAGTGACCTTCAACCCCCCTAAAAAACCCTCCAGAAGAAGACACACCATAAGGGTGGTTGTCTTTCTTGAAAAGCAACCCCAACTTCTAATCGCCATCACAGAATAACTTTGGCCATAACACAGGTTCCGATCAGGCCAAATATCACTTAAGCTCCAACTGGCAATAGCTCATACGAGCATAGGAGCAGTGATTAAGTCTGTGATAGGCGTCTTGGACCATGAAGATTCTTCGAAGGGAACTACCATACACCAGGGGTGAGATCGCGGGAAAAGTTCAGGGCCTATCAACTGATTGTCTTCTCAGGAAGAGCAACATTGGCCCTTCAACTGACACATGTGCCACTAAAGTTGCCTAAGCTTTGGTGGTCTAAGCATGCGACCCGCATGATCCCCATAAGGGAGAGTTCTCTATTCACAGCATGGTCCAACCCCCATTGCTCCCGAAGCTTCTTCAAGAAAACCGCTACGGTTTGTCATTTCCAGGGAGTACAATACCGGCTGGTGGATTCTCTCTCCAAGAGAATTTTCACCACCAAAGCCATGTAGCTTCTGGTCGTGCCCCCAATCCTCACGAACCCGACCTGGAATATGCCATTCGACATGATTCATGGCTTCTGGGCAGTTCCTTTTGCTAAAAGCCGGCATGCCAACCATCCGTCCACGAACCCGACCTGGAATATGCCATTCGACATGATTCATGGCTTCTGGGCAGTTCCTTTTGCTAAAAGCCGGCATGCCAACCATCCGCCTTCAAGGCCTTATTGAAGATTCAGACTCAAAAGGAACCTCGGCTGATGAGATGGTAAATAGAGTTTCGACTCATCTTCATCTATCATCGAGTCGTCCGCTATGGTAAAAGCAAAATCCAACTAAAGATGTTCTATATTGGCTGCATCATCCACTACAAAACTGCCTTTGAAACAGAGATAAAACGAGATCACAAGTGATTCAACCCTCTTGAGCATCGGATGTCTACAATGGATTCTTTCCATAATCATGTAAATTTCAGAACTAATGAAATCTTATCAAATATGAATTAAGTCTTATCTCGCAGGGATCAAGCCTTCACTAGGGCTGAAGACCTAGGCACCTCCAACAAGCCATTGGTACCTCTTCAGGATAAACCTAAGGCACAACCCTATGATCGACTCCCACAAACGCCATTCGACCATACGGGGATTATGAAGACCTAGGCACCGCGTGAGATCTAGGCACCCAACCTTAGGGTTGTAATTCAGCCTCAAGGCTGCCAAAGACCTAGTCAACTCTCAAGAGTTCTAGGCATTTGACTCCTCAGTAGAATTTTAAGCCCTTGGTATCTTTTGAGGGTAAACCTAAGGCACAACCCATGGTCAACTCCCACAGTCGTCATTCGATCATATGGGGATTATGAAGACCTAGGCACCGCGTAAGACCTATGAACCCAACCTTAGGGTTGTCATTCAGCCTTAAGGCTACCAAAGACCTAGTAAACTCTTAAGAGTTCTAGGCATTCGACTCCTCAGTCGAATTTTAATCCCCTGGTACCTCTTTAGGATAAATCAAAGGCACAACATATGATCGAATCCTCCAATGCAACTCGACCATCATGGTTAATCAAAAACCCAGGCGTCCAAAAAAGTCCTGGGCGACCCAACCTCAGGGTTGGTATGTCAACAAGCCCTTGGTACCTCTTAAGGATAAACCCAATGCACAACCATATGGTCGACTCCCACAGTCGCCATTCAACCATACGGGTATTATGAAGACCTAGGTACCTCGTAAGACCTATGCACTAAACCTTAGGGTTGTCATCCAGCCTCAATGCTGCCAAAGACCTAGTCAATTCTCAAGAGTTCTAGGCATTCGGCTCCTCAGTCGAATTTTAAGCCATTGGTACATCTTCAGGGTAAACCTAATGCACAACCTTATGGTCGACTCTCACAGTCGACATTCGACAAAACAGGGATTATGATGACCCAGACACCGCGCAAGACTTATGCATCCAACCTTAGGGTTGTCATTCAGCCTTAAGGATGCCAAAGACCTAGTCAACTCTTAAGAGTTCTAGGCATTCGACTCCTCGGTCGAATTTCATGCCCTTGGTACCTCTTCACGATAAACCCAAGGCACAACATATGGTCGAATCCTCCAGTGCAACTCGACCATCATGGTTAATCAAAAACCCAGGCGTCCAAATAAGTCCTGGGCGACCCAACCTCAGGGTTGAAATGTCAACAAGCCCTTGGTACCTCTTCAAGATAAACTCAATGCACAACCCTATGGTCGACTCCCACAGTTGCCACTCGACCATATAGGGGTTATGAAGACCTAGACACCTACATAAGACCTAGGCACCCAACCTCAGGGTTGTCATTCTGCCAAAAAGGTATTCATAAGCCTAAGGTATGAATATTAAATGTATGGCCAATACTTAATTGATGTAAAAACTTAAGCAGTCATCTGTCAAGTTCTGGTCAATTAAACGCTCAGCCAAACTAAGGCATCGGGTGAACTAGTTGTCATAAGTCCCCAGCACGGGTCGACACATTACAACTAACTCACTTCAGCCAACATTTCAGCTCTTGATAAGAACAAATCTATAAAGCCAAAGGAATATAAACAATGAAGGCAAACTCAAGAATTGAGATAAAAGTTAATTTTTATTCAATAAGAGTAAACTTCATTACAAACTTCTCTACAAAAAAAAAAGAAAAAGAAAAGAAAAAAGAAGAGACATGCAGGTCTTCATAGCTCTCGACCAGTTAGACTTGGCGGTCTTCGGGTGGTAGCAGTTGCAGAAGATTCCCCAGGAGCCCCGGCAACAGGCTCAACCTCATCGTCACTCGCTGATAAATCCAACCCGTCTCCGCTCTTCTCGATATCTTTCAACAGATTGAGACAGCAGGAGATGTGAGAAGGATAGAAGTGGTCTGGAGCAGATGAAAGTTGCGAGGCACTAGAGAAGCGAAGTAGTCGACCCCGACCTTACACGCCAAAGCCACTTCGAACCTTCCCAAGAGGCCATGATGCCAATCGTCGACCACCCTCTTTTTATGCTGCTCTGAATCTAGACGAACGAGTTTGTCCTCCAGTTCCTTGACAAGGGCCGTGGACGCTTGAATCTGTGATTGCAGCTTCTCAAAGTCCCTCCTCGCCTTCTCGAGAGATAGGCGACTTGATCGAGTCTCTGCCTCAGTCGTCGCCTTGCGACGCTTCTCGGACTCGACCTCCGCCTGTAGATGAACCATCTCTCTTTGAAGTTCCTCGATGGTTCCCACCTATTTGAAGAACTGGATTTGAAAGCTCTTAAGAAGCTCTTCATTCTCATCCAAACTCCGGTGCCAAGCGCTACTTTTATGAACTAACTCGGCCTTCAAGACAGTAATCCTCTTCTCTGCCTCTTCCCTAGCCGACTTCTCCTTTGCCAGCTCTACTTGGCATTCCAGGGAATGCTCAAGTCGATTGAACAGAGCGTGCTCTAGTAAAGTCCCCCGAGCCAAACAATCCTGGAGAGCTTCATGTATGCCAACACTTGGCATATCCTCCAAAATCCTCCCGTCAGCACCATTCTCCATCTGGTCTGATGGTGTTCCAGCTCTCCCCTCGACACTGTCGTCCACCCCCATCGGTTCTTTACCGGGATGACAAGACGCCTCCGGAATAGTACTAGGGTCGACAACATGCTCCTCAACCGCTAGGGCCATTGTCTCCCTGTCAGGAGAAGACTCGTCTATCCGTCCTATATTTTCCAAGCGGTTAAGCTGAGTTACCAGTGGACCCATCTCAGCTGGTTGGGGCCCCACAACCAGTCCGACTGGGCGCCGCCTCTCGACCCTTGTCCTCCCCCTCAATTAAGAGGCAATTTCAGCTGCTTGAGGCATCAAGACAGCCACCTCCTCAGCACTGAAGGCCTCCCTCAGCTTCTTAGGGGGCCTAGCAGTGGAACTCGACCCCTCGGTCCCTACATTCCTCTTACGACTTTTCACCAATAGAGGAACATGGCTCGCCCTTGCCTTGAAGCCAGTGGAGGACAAGATCATGGATATGCCCGTTGCCTGGAGAGACACATCATCAAATAGAGCATTGCTCTCCCGTGGCCCAGCATAAGAGAGAACCTTTTCCAGGTCCGTCATCTCTGAATCGCTAAGAGTGGCTGGCCTCAAAGCATCCTCATTTGCCTCCGGCCAGTCCGAGCAGGCGAAGACGCTGTCGCCACTATAAACCCACACGAATCGCGTACTCCAGTCCTCATCCAACCCCAAAGAGTCTGAGACAAGCTAGAAATCACCACGATAGTGGTAGAAGTAATGTGGGTCCTTCTCAGTCGACCCCACGCTGATCAAATGTCCAAGCAATCTCAAGCTTGGTTGAACTCCAACACGGTGGCAAACGATGATGAAAGCCACTAGAATCCCTACTGCATTCAGATAGAACTAGAAATGGGAGACTCTTAGAGCGACATGCATCTCCCTAATAAAAGGGTGTAAGGGCAGCCGTAAGCCATGCTCCAAGTGGGCCAAGTACAACGACACTCGACCCTCGCCATGGCGATACACTGGCTCGCTCATCTCCGGCGCCGCCAATGTGAGAGTCTGGGGGTAATTGTATTGATCATACAACCTCACCAGATTGTCCATATAGACCTTCGAACGGATAAGAAGAAGAATAGCAAGTCTCTCCTCACTACGGCTAGAGGTTGAAACTTGAGAGGCCATGGAAGATTTTTTTTCTTAAAAAAGCTTGAAGGAATATCAGAAATTTATTAAAGTGAAAGTTCGTAAAAGAATTATCTTAACATCAAGAGACCATTTATAAGTTTTCGAAGAAGTGTGTGGAAGGATTTCAAAGGACATAGTGATTTTCGAAGCAACCAGGTTAGATTCGCTTCAGAATCTGAAGCGGTTCACTCGAAACACGAAGCACTGCCCTCATTTAATGCCCCACGTTCCAATACTAGATAAGCGGAAGATCCTCCATTATGTCCATGACGCTTCGTTTTCTAAAATGACGGTTTAGATCTTTGATAACGTTAGCCATGAAAAGCGGAGTCATGATGTGTAAAGAAGGATGCCTGATGATGTCAGCCACGTCTCTAAGACGAAGGCTTATCATTTTCTCGTCCTCAGCAGGCTTATATTGATCAGAGCATATCTTATTTTACTTGGACCCAATTAAAAGTCGATTCCAAGCAAAAAGGGCCAACTGTTATGGTGTTTACTCACCCAAGATACATGTATTTGCAAAATAATACACTCATAACCCTGGTAAACTGGCCTCAACCCACTTAAGTGGCCCAAGCCTAACAGAGCCCTCGACCCCGCCGACTCATCTAGTCAACATTCTTTCATGCCGACGTGAAAGGCGGGATTAGTCGACCCTATCATCGAGGACGACCCACCTAGGGCACTCGACCACTCACTTGGCAACTTACGAAGACGACTTGATAGGCATTTCCTACTGTCGACTAAGTTGAGGACTCGACCCCTACCTCAAGCCTCTCCCCCAGAGCATATGTCAGCATTTCAGTCCACCTCGGACAAGCCTTATCTAGATTTTGGCCTGATGGTCTGCATGACTTGTCAGCTACCCACGTGCCTTCTGCCACGCTCTCAATCGCTTCTCGAAAAATGCGGAGACACCCTCTCCCGTGCCGAAGTGACTTCCCCTCCAGTCGCTAGCCGACACCTGTAAAGCGAGGGATGATTTAGCATGCCAGCGTGTCTTCTACCATGCTCTCAATCATTTCCCAAAAAATGTGGAGA